CTTCTGCATGGATGTATAATTGCTTATATGCATTAAATACATCTACAGTACTTCCATTGTGTTACTTACAAATGGGATGCACTTCATGAAAAGTCGGGTTTAATTTTACCTTAAATGCAATTTAAACGCTGCGATTATTTAATGTTTAAATGCATAGTATAACATATTATGGGATCGTAAATGTAAGAAAATAATTAGCATTTAATACGAGTTTAATGAAAAATTAAAAGAACAAATTTAATAAAGTTTGGAAAATTGTAAACTTACTAATACCTTCGGATTTAAGTCTCCCGTAAACAAATATTATACCTCTAGTTTACAAAACGTATAATTATTATTAAACACGCCCATAAAATAAAGTTTTATGATTATATTAAATTTGATCGTTTAATAAAATTTAACGTAGATCTTTACCTTATTATTTTTTTGTTTAATTCACACTTTACTTCATAATACTTCCAAAAATTAATTTATATACAGAAAATTGTAAACCTACTAATACGTTCAAATTTTCATCTTTCATAAACTAATATTAAATCTCTTGTTTATGTGATGAAAATATACGGATTAAACCTTCCCATATCATTAAGATTTATGGTTGTATTTGATGAAATTTAATATTATTATATCATTGCGTAATATTTTTAGGTCACCTGAGTAAACTCAGGTGACCTATTGCTATCCGTTTTCGTCCGTCGTCGTGCGTCGTGCGTCGTGCGTCGTGCGTTGTGCGTTAACATTTGAACATTTTCAGCTTCTTCTCTGCAACCACTGAACCAATTTCAACCAAATTTGGCACAAAGCATCTATGGGTGAAGGGGAACAAAAATTGTGAATTTCATGATCCCTGCCCCCCAGGGGCCTGAGGGGTGGGGCCAAAACCACTAAAATTAATGCAATCTTTAAAAATCTTCTTCTTTACTCCTGGGCATCAAGCAGTCAAACTGGTTGCATGATTGTAATCAGCAATGAGTCCTCTACCAAAATTGTGAAATTCATGGCCCTGGGGTCAGGGGTTCTAGTGCTAGGGCGGGGCTAAATAAGTAGGTAGTGAAAATGCATTATTTCTTTGAAAATCTTCTTCTCTGCTCCTGGGTATTAAATAAACTAACTAAGTACATAGTTATGATGAGCAAGAGTGCCTCTACCAAAATTGTGAATTTTATGGCCCCAGGGTCAGGGGTTCTGGTGTTAGGGTGGGGCTCTATTGATTATATAGTGAAAATACATGAATTCTTTGAAAATCTTCTTCTCTGCTCCTGGGTATTAAATAAACTAACTAAGTATATAATTATGATGAACAAGAGTGCCTCTACCAAAATTGTGAATTTTATGGCCCCAGGGTCAGGGGTTCTGGTGTTAGGGTGGGGCTCTATTGATTATATAGTGAAAATACATGAATTCTTTGAAAATCTTCTTCTCTGCTCCTGGGTATTAAATAAGCTAACTAAGTGCCTAGTTATGGTGAGCAAGAGTGCCTTTACCAATATTGTGAATTTTATGGCCCCAGGATTAGGGGTTCTGGTATTAGGGGGGGGGGGGCTCTATTGATTATATAGTGAAAATACATGAATTCTTTGAAAATCTTCTCTGCTCCTGGGTATTAAATAAACTAAGTGCATAGTTATAATGAGCAAGAGTGCCTCTACCAAAATTTTGAATTTTATGGCCCCAGGGTCAGGGGTTCTAGTGCTGGGGGGGGGGGGGGGGCTCGATAGATTATGTAGTTAAAATACATGAATTCTTTCAAAATCTTCTTCTGTGCTCCTGGGTATTAAATAAACTAACTAAGTGCATAGTTATGATGAACAAGAGTGCCTCAACCAAAATTGTGAATTTTATGGCCCCAGGGTCAGGGGTTCTGGTGTTAGGGTGGGGCTCTATTGATTATATAGTGAAAATACAGGAATTCTTTGAAAATCTTCTTCATTGCTCCTGGGTATTAAATAAACTAACTAAGTGCATAATTATGTTGAGCAAGAGTGCCTCTACCAAAATTATGAATTTTATGGCCCCAGGGTCAGGGGTTTTGGTGTTAGGGCGGGGCTCTATAGATTATATAGTGAAAATTCATTAAATCTTTAAAAATTTTCTTCTCTGCTCTAGGGTATTAAGCAGATGAACTACCTATATAGTTATTATCTACAAGGGCCCTAATCTTCCAGAATTGTGAATTTCAAGGCCCCAGGGTCAGGGGTAATATGGGGGGGGGTGTACTTATATACTGAAAATGAATGAATGGTTTGAAATCTGCTCATTGGTATTAATCAAATATCAAGGCCTAAGGGTCAGGGGTTCATGTGTAGTAGGGGCACTACTGATTATTGCTGAATATAACTGATTAGTTGAAATGCATTTTTTGTTCCCCTACCTTGTGTATGGGTATTGAGTAAACAAACTAAGCAACTGCTAAGTGTATTGTTATGATGAATTAAATTTAATCACTGGAAAGTTGTTGCATAATGCTCAGGTGACCTATAAGGCCTATGGGCCTCTTGTTATTTAATATCTATTAAATCATCAATTTTTATGAACTATAATTGTGGGTTGTTTTTTTTTTTGGGCAAGTATTTTACAATCATACAGAAATTTTATTACATGTTATCTCAATAGTGTACAAACAATGAGTTCTAACTGTTCTGTTTATGTTTTTGTATTTTGCGGGTTTTAGTGCAACCCCTTTCTTTATTGTTTTGTGTAATAAGCCTAACCGGAAACAAGTTAAGAAAAAGCACATGCTTACAAATTTAACAGACGAGAATCTACGAATTCATCTTTACGAGCTGATAAGGCCCATAGGGTAATTAGTTAATATTGTTTTGTATCTTATGAAATAGTTAACAGATTAATTGTCATTTTTAAAGTTAATAAGATATCGTTGTATTGATTTTATAAGTGTAAACAATATTTTCTGGCGAGTGAATTTGTGTCATGTATCGAGATTACATGTAGCTGTTATTTTGTTGTAGAATTTTACTCTGTTGCGTTGCAACAGTGTTGCTGCCTTATCAATAAACAATTAAACCTACAATTCGCCTCACTTATGGAGACACTACAGTAAAATTCCTGGGATTATCAACAATCGAACAATGAATGGGCAAGCGGTCGACCAACAAAATCCGAACAACGACAAGCGAATCAGAACAATGACAAGCACAGGTACGGAAATATACAGAAAATCAGTAGAAAAACAAACTTCACACCTCTATACAATAGAGAGAGACATTGATTATGAAAGCAACCAAATTTCCATTGATAAGAGTCCTGAAGAACTGTCCACTATACAAACAAACATCCTCAGTCTACATAAAAGATATCAGGACAAGTCAAACCGATTTATGGATTTCTTAACCCATCAAAATTCAGTTGAAAGTATCAGTGAAAAAAAGGCACATGATGTTATTGCAAAAACTTTGGACTCTAAAGTGCAACATGTTCTTAGTCAAATCAAACAAACTCTCGGAAAAAGAAACACTCAAACCAGGCATGAAGACACAAGGTCAGAGTCTCATAGGTCACGTACTAGTTATAAACTGTCCAGATCTTCGAGTGCGAGTGGCAGTTACTTACCTATGCAACAATTCATGGAGCGAAAGGCAAAGGCAGAAGCAACGAGAGTTCAGATGGAATATGAGAAGAAACAATTGGAAATGAAGAAAATGAAAGCTGAATTAGTAGAAAATGAAGTCAAGGTCAAGGCAGAAATTCAACGTAGACAGTCTGAAATTCAAGCTAACATGGATGTTCTAGATGCGGAAAAGAACCTGAGTGTGGCCGAAGCTGAACTTAAGGTATTTGAAGATGAATTGGAAAATTCCAGAAAGTTTGACATTTTATCAAATTACGAAGAGCAGGACCCTCAAGAAAGAACAGAACGCTACGTCGCAGAACAAAGGCCAATCATCACACAGCATGCAGAACAACTACTCATTACACAGCCTAACTCATCTCAAGGAGTACTTGATTCATAATCATCTCAACAACAAACTGACAATCAACAACAATCTCAACAACAAACAATCAATGAACAAAAATCTCAACAACAGACTGTGAATCAACAAATCTCTGTACAACAGTGGGCTGAACAACAATCTGCGAAACAACAAACCTCCGAACAACAAACTGTGTTAGCGACTGAGAAACAGTCTTCTGAGCAACTTGCGCGTGCTATTACAATAAGTGTTCCTGTATCACAGACAACAATTAAACAACCTTCAGTGCAACAACCTCTCACACTACCTGTGACCCTACCATATAACGCACACCATGAACCTGTGTACTCCAATATCGCAGAACCCAGTGTTCCTCGGATAGTGAGAGAATTCACTATGCAACAACTTTCCGCACAACCTTCAGTAGTGCAGAGCCACGGCATCCAACCTGCATGGCTTACCAGTGAGCAACAGTCGCACACGAAGCATCCAACTTCACAATCATTTGTTCAACCCAACAGCCATCAGTCATCAGTTTATTTTAAACAAGAACGCCCTGACATGCATTTCCATTCAGTGCAACCTAGTACAAATAGTGATATGCAACATGTATACAACTTACCAACAGCATTACCTCTGCAACACAGCAATTATGAACAACTGAACAATCGAAAACAACCATTTGTGCAACAACATTCCTATGCGCATTCTGTACAACCTGGAACACAACAAATGTTTATGTCTGAGATAACCAAGTTTCTAGTGAAGAAAGACATTTTGAAATTAAGATCGTCAAAGTTTATGGACATTCCTGGAACATTTGTTAGTTGGAAGACTACATTTCAGAGTGTTCTCAGAGAACTTGAAGTATTTCCTCTTGAAGAACTAGACCTATTACAGCAGTATTTGGGACCTGAATCCTCCAGGTATGCAGTTAGCATTCGTGCCGCAAACTCACACAATCCTAGCAAAGGAGTCGAGAAAATATGGGAAAGACTGAATGACAAATATGGACGTCCAGAAATCGTTGAGGCCTCACTTAAGGCCAAGCTAGCAGCATTTCCATAAATGAGTGTTAGAGACCCCAAGAAACTGTTTGACTTAGCCGATCTTTTGAGTGAAATTGAGTCTGTCGAGGAGAACCCCATGTACAGCACATTGTTATCTTACTTCGACACCTCAGCTGGAATAAACCCAATGATAAACAAACTCCCAGCTAACCTTCAGGAGAAGTGGGTTACAACAGCAGTAAGGTACAAAAAGACTCATGGTGTTGTATTTCCCCCATTCAGCCATTTTGTGCAATTTATTCACGAGTTAGCACAGGTCAAGAATGATCCTAGCTTCCACTATGAAACTTCACAGACTTACACAGCCGCTAATCGAGAACAGCAAAAAGTGAGATACAAGGAACCCGTGCACAACACCGTGATCACAAACAAAACTGACATTACTCAAGGTGTGTCCGAAGATACGAGGTCATGTCCCATACATGGAGTGAACCATTCACTAAATGACTGCAGAACATTCAGATCGAAATCCTTAGCAGAAAGGAAACAGTTCTTGAAGGAGAATGGACTTTGTTATAAATGTTGCGGTACCGTGAAACACATGTCCAAAGACTGCAGTCAAAACTGTGATCTGTGGAATCTGTCGAAGTAATCGTCATCCAACAGGACTGCATGAGGAGACAACTCCGAACCCGAAGCCAAGTAGCATGGTTTCTCATGGATGGAGGAAGCATGGCGTGGAAGGACCAGAACTTACAGACAATGCTCAAATTCATACTCAACAACCCGTCATGTCAAAGTGTACTCAGATTTGTAAAGATGGAACTTCTTGAAAATCGTGTGCAAAGAAAGTGCAAGTTAAAGTGTACCCTAACAACCAACCAGAGAAGGCAGTGAGAACATACTGTATTATTGATGATCAGAGCAATAGATCACTGGCACGATCAGAGTTCTTCAACATTTTCGGCGAGCAAGGATCAGAAGTAGAATACACTTTATCTTCCTGTTCGGGCACATGTCTAACTACAGGCAGAAGAGCATCCGAATACACAGTTGAGTCCTTGGACGGCACAGCTATACTTCAACTACCCACACTCATCGAATGTAACGAAATTCCAGATAATAAAAACGAAATACCGACACCGGAAGTGGCCCGATGCTACTCACATCTTCAAGATATAGCAGAGCTGATACCACCAGTGAATGACAGTGCAAAGACACTTCTTTTATTGGGACGAGATATCATCAGTGTTCACCATGTGCAAGACCAGCGCATTGGCAACTCTAGCTCTCCATATGGACAAAAACTTAACCTTGGATGGGTCATCATAGGAGAAACGTGTATCGGAAGAGCTCATAAAAGTGACCAAGTGAATGTGAACAAAACTTTCATACTTCATGATGGACAACCTAGTCTACACCATCCGTGTGTAAACAATATTCACATTAGAGAAAGTAATCTTGACTCGTTGTTTTGTGAACCAGACAGTCGTTTATTAATTAAAACAAAGGATGACAACAAATCAGGGAAGTCAACTGAAGATCGACAATTCGAAACTATCATGGCAGCTGGAATGGTGAAAAATGAACAGGGAAATTGGGAGGCACCATTACCATTTAAACCAAACAGACCACCCCTACCAAACAATAAAGAACTAGCAATGAAGAGGGCAAAATCTCTTGAAATCAGCCTTATCAAGGATGAAACAAAGCGAGAACACTTTCTTACGTTTATGTCAAATATACTGGACAAAGGCTTTGCAAAAGAAGTACCCAAACTACCTGACTCAGAAGAATGCTGGTACCTGCCCATTTTCAGCGTATATCATCCGAAAAAGCCAGCACAAATCCGAGTGGTCTTCGACTCATCAGCCCAGTGTCAAGGCCTATCATTAAACCAGGCGTTACTTACTGGACCTAACCTGACCAATGATCTTCTTGGAATTTTTTTACGTTTTCGTCAAGGATCAGTAGCAGTGACAGTTGACATTCAGCAAATGTTTTACGGATTCTATGTTCGACCAGATCACCGCAAGTATTTGCACTTCTTTTGGTATAAGGAAAACGACATGAACAAGGGCCTAGTGGAGTACCAGATGAAGGTACATGTGTTCGGCAACACAACTTCACCTGCAGTTGCAACCTATGCACTCAGAAAGACAGTGGAAGAAAGTGACTGTGATGTGAAAAACTTTGTAGTGAAAAACTTTTACGTGGACGACGGTTTGTTTTCAAATCAAACAGTTCAGGAAGCAGCAGATTTGATAAAGAGAACTCAGAAGGATTTGGCAGAAAAGGGAAACCTGAAACTTCATAAGATCGCTTCCAACAGTTTGGAACTAATGAATCACTTCCCTAACCAAGACCTCTCAAAGGAAATTCAAGATCTCAATTTCACAGAAGAGTACTTACCACTTCATCAGAGCCTTGGACTAACATGGAACTTACAAACTGACAGTTTTATGTTCAATATACCTTTAGAGACAAAACCGTTTACAAAACGAGGTATTTTGTCAGTGATCAACAGCATATTTGACCCGATTGGTTTCATCGCACCAGTGAAGATAAAAGGAAAAATGCTTCTAAAAGAGATTTCACAAGGAACTACTGGCTGGGATGAGGAACTTCCCCGGGAGTACATGAATTAGTGGAGTGAGTGGACCAGTTCCTTAGACTCATTGAAGGATGTTAAGATTCAGAGAAGCTACACTTCTCAGTTACCTGAAGCTACCAAAACAGAAGTTCACATATTTTCCGACGCCTCGGAAAAGGCTATTGGAGCTGTCGCCTATTTGAAAACCTATTTCTCAGACAACAGAGTGAATATTGGATTCTTGTTGGGAAAGGCGAAGTTAGCTCCCTTGAATGGACATTCTCTACCCAGACTGGAGTTATGCACAGCTGTGATGGCTGTGGAAATTTCTGAAACTGTTCAAGAATCCCTTGATATTAGACCAGACAGTGTAGAGTATTACACAGATAGCCAAGTGGTTCTAGGCGACATCAACAATACCACCAGACGCTTCTACACGTACGTCTCAAATCGAGTGGACCAAATTAGGAGTCTCTCAACCCCATCTGATTGGAGTTACGTGAACACTAAACATAACCCAGCCGACCTAGCTACACGCTCAGTTCCCTCATCTAAACTTCAAGACAGTATGTGGTTAAATGGACCAAAGTTCTTACAGAACAGTGAGGAACATTTTCAGTATACTACAGTGTTTCCATTACTAGACCCTGAACATGACAAAGAGATAAGACCAGACGTAGTCGTACAGAAGACATAGTTGAATGAGTCAATACCTTTGATCAACAGATTCACAAAGTTTGGAAGCTGGATATCCTTGGTGAGAGCCATTGCTCGTCTGAAACAGTTCTTCAAGTCATTCAAGGCAAGAAAAGAGAAGACTCACTCATCTGAACCAAAGACACTTAATCCTCAGATCATGAAGGAAGCAGAAACGTTCATTGTCAAGGAAACGCAAAGAAATTTCTACCCCGAAGACCTGGATGCCTTGAGGAGAAAATGTCAGATTAACAAGAACAGTAACATAATACCACTTAATCCATTCCTAGACTGTGACGGAACTATAAGAGTAGGAGGACGGTTGAAAAACGCTTACCTTCGTCAGAACGAGCTGCATCCCATTATCTTACCCGGACGGTCTTATGTGGCCAAACTGATAGTCATGTCATGCCACGAGAAGGTTTTCCATCAGGGGAGACATATATCGGAAGGCGCTGTTCGGTCAAGTGGATACTGGATCACAGGATGTAAACGATTAGTATCGTCACTCATCTATCAATGCGTCACCTGCAGGAAGTTACATGGGAAAGAGCAAAATCAACTCATGGCTGATTTACCCAAAGATCGTCTGATGGTAGGAGCCCCCTTTTTGAACATAGGCGTCGACGTTTTCGGACCTTGGCAAGTGGTTACGCGGAAAACTAGGGGCGGAATCGTGTACAACAAACGCTGGGCAGCTTTATTTACGTGTTTGGGTACCCGAGCTGTTCACATAGAGGTATTGGAGGAAATGACCTCTTCTTTCATTAACGCCTTGAAACGGTTCATTGCCATTAGGGGCAATGTCAAGATTATTCGTTCAGACAGAGGAACCAATTTTATCGGGACAGTCAACACACTTCATCTTAACTGCGTAAACGTTGAAGATACAACAGCAAAATCTTACCTGGAAGAAAAAGGGATCACCTGGATCTTCAACTCGCCACACTCTTCTCACATGGGGGGAGTGTGGGAGCGTATGATAAAAACAGCTAGAAGGATCTTAGATGCTCTACTTTTGGATTCTTCAACTAAAAACCTGACCCATGAAGTCTTAGTAACCTTTCTGGCGGAAGTGTCGGCAATTATAAACTCAAGACCAATCACAGTCATTTCCACGGACCCAGAAAACCCTATTATCCTTTCTCCAGCTTTGTTACTGACACACAAAGATGACAGTCACACAGCAACCCAGTTTGAGTCCGATTCAAAATTGGACATGAAAGATATCTACAGAGCTCAGTGGAAACGTGTGCAGTGTTTATCGGAACTGTTCTGACAGAAATGGAAGAAGGATTATCTCCATACACTTCAAACGCGCAGGAAGTGGAAATCTGTGGTACCAGATCTTACGGAAGGAAGTGTCGTTTTGCTCAAGGATAACGATGTTCCGAGACGATCGTGGCCGTTAGCCAGGCTTGTGAAGGTTCTACCAAGTGGTGATGGGAGAATCCGCAAAGTCATTATTCGTGTTCATCGTGGCGGAAAGAACATCGAATACACCAGACCAATTTGAGAGCTTGTTCTTTTAGTTAAGAATTAAAACAGATTTGTTGACTTTGTATATTTTGCAAAGAATGTTAGAGATCTGTAGTTGAGAAATTGTTTTCTAAGATTTATTGAGATTATGTTTATTAAGTTAGTGATTTACTTACATGGTAAATCAGACGGGGAATGTTCTGTTTGTGTTTTTGTATTTTGCGGGTTTTAGTGCAACCCCTTTCTTTACTGTTTTGTGTAATTAGCCTAACCGGAAACAAGTTAAGAAAAAGCACATGCTTACAAATTTAACAGACGAGAATCTACGAATTCATCTTTACGAGCTGATAAGGCCCATAGGGTAATTAGTTAATATTGTTTTGTATCTTATGAAATAGTTAACAGATTAATTGTCATTTTTAAAGTTAATAAGATATCGTTGTATTGAATTTATAAGTGTAAACAATATTTTCTGGCGAGTGAATTTGTGTCATGTATCGAGATTACATGTAGCTGTTATTTTGTAGAATTTTACTCTGTTGCGTTGCAACAGTGTTGCTGCCTTATCAATAAACAATTAAACCTACAATTCGCCTCACTTATGGAGACAGTACACTAACAAAGTATAAGATATTCAAAAATTTATGCCTAAATGTCAGAATTTAAAAATTTACAATCATGATTGTAGCTCAATTATAATGGAGTAAATTTTTATATACTACATGTAGTAGTAAAGTAATAATATAGTACTGAAGTAAATGAAAGAATTTTGAATTTTACAAAACACTTAAGGGATTCCGACCCTCAGCTAGGAAGGACAACTCTTTAATTTACAAATTAAGTCTTTAAATGAAGCTTCAAAATTAAATCTTTTTATGTAACAATTTTCATTATATGCCTCTCAATGTGCTTCAAGGATCTTTGAACTTCTCAGAAAGGTCTTATTAAAAGTAGAAATTTTTATCCGTGGTAGAAACATTTTTAGATACCAATTTTATTAACATGATATGAAATCACAAGTGATTTATGGAGCTTTCCAAAGAACCTTGGAGCACATTGAGATGCATATAAAGGAAATTGTTGTATGAAAATATTTAATTTTCAAGCTTCATTTAAAGACATTTTGAATTGATTTGTAAATTAAAGAGTTGTCCTTCCTAGCTGAGGGTCGGAGTCCCTTAATATGGAATTCAAATTTCGTTAATTTAAGATACCCTGACAACAACGGGTCATTTTGTCCAAACAAATCAATAATCATAAATAATTATTAGAATAGAATTGTATGTAAAATTTAAATCCGGAATAAATCAGGACACAACAGGTCAAAAATGCAGTCATTCTGGACTCCAAAAGACTGCAAAATCTGTGTCTGAAACTGCCCCTATTAAAACTGCTGCATGGGTTGTAAATGGCTTTTCAATTTCCCACAAAAAATTATATCATACTTTGCATAAAAAAGAATAAAAGTTGCCAATAAAAGTTGTCCATTCTTTTTAAATGTACATCTATTAAGACACACTAAGCCACTGACAGAGAAGCCTCACTCGCCCGCAAGCAAGAGCAAAAGGATCAGTCAGAGACACCATCTATCTCTTACTTGAGTATCAAGATCTGCAACTTACTGCCAGCAAAAAGCTCTTTCAAACCACCCTTAAATTGTTTACAAAGTATTTCCACAATAGCTGTCCATGCACTAATTATTCAAGTTCAACTTGTAAAAACATGGCAATAAATCAGAGATTAAAAGTTTATGTACATGTGTGCCACACAATAAACCAGTTGATCTGGTATCAATAAAAAATATGACAGCTTTTAAATCTTTAACTGAGTACAGTAAATACTTAATGTTGACTGTGAAAAATACAACACCCCAAAAAATCTTTTATATCTCATTTGGTTATGTCAATTCAAACAAGCATTCTGAGAGTATTGCATAAGCAATACATGTCCCCTACCGGGCTCCCCATTTCTTCTCAGGAATGACTTTTACAAGACCCTGTAAATAATGAGTGCCCCCAAAGATGTAAAAAATTTGGTTATTACTAGTTTATAAACAAAATATCTTAGAGTGAAGTCTGCCTTATAAAGACTTGTTTGATTGCCCCAAGACATACAGACATGTTTTAATCTGAAAAAAGCTCGTGTTAACATAAATAAAATGACACGTGAAAACACAGTATGTTTTCTTTATTTCACAGACCAATTATTTTACTGAAATTGTCCTGAGAAACTAAGTTGAATAATACCTTGGTTAGTTTATATGCACAGTGATAATATGATGGTCAGAAAAACAGACAGGTGAGTTATAAATTACACAATCATGATGGTTTGTGAAGACAAGATCAAGTATGGAACCTAGTTCATGAGTTGGCTCTGTTATCATCTGATGTAATCCAAACTCAAGAAGCATATTCACAAGCAGGGTTTGCATTCTGAGATCAAGATTAAAGTCTCCAATAATAAGGATTTTTGAAAAGCTGTGTCTTCTTGGGGGAGAGTTAATTTGAGAAGTCATATTTTTTACATCTTCTGCAAGAAGAGTCCATGATGTTCCTGGGGTAACATATACAGATACAATTAATGTTTCTTTCACCACCACAGAGACCGTTTCTAGAACATTTGTATTTATTGGGAAGGTTTCAACATTATCATTGTTGATGTATATCGCAGCTCCATGTTTACATTTATTGTTAATGCATTTCATGTTCTCAAATTGAAACTCTGTATAGTTGTGAACCTTTGTTTCTGATAAACACAGAATATCCGAATGTTCAGCAATTTTAGAGTTAAGTAAGTCTTGGTGATGTTCTTTTAAAGAACGCACATTTAAATATGACACTCTAAGGGTTGCTTCCTTAAAATCTTTCTGGAAAGTGTCGGGGATGAGGCTTTTGGTAGCTTGAAGTCTATGCATTTCATCGAGAGCTGAATAATTTACTTTGATTTTCTCTGCATCAAATGAGCATAATCTCAGGCCATTCATTGATTTAGCTCTACTTAGAAGTGTGTAAATTTGGCCTGGCATTGTTTTGTTTTTATTGTTGTGAGTGGTCATATCTCCTATCATTTCCTCAAATGTACTGCCTTGGGCTTTGTGTACTGTTATTCCCCAAGCTAATGTCCCAGGAAACTGAATTCGTTCAACTTGAAGAGAACTGCATTTGTCATTTATACTAAATGTGGCATTTACTGCTCGAATTGGAACAAGATCTTTGTATTTGCTTTTTGCTTTAGCTTGACGACCAGTTCTTGCATCATCAAATTTGACATACAAAATACCCTCCAATGGATTGAATTGGGAAATATCAAGTTTCATTATGGTTCCTGTAGCTCCATTGACTAGTCCATCTTCTGTATCGATATTTTTGGTCTGCATATATCTGGCATTCAAGGCTACTTTAATTTCAGTCTCTAATCCTCCTGTTTCATGAGGATTATTGCTCGTTACTTGTACTGGGACCCGTTTGGTGTATATATCTCTTCTTGTATCTTGAGCCTTTATGGTAAACACTTCCGACGTCAGCAAATTTAACTGTTTCTCATTGTAGATATCTTTAAGGGCATTGGTAAGAAATATGGAAAGGGACCCTTCAGACACATTTGAATTGTTTTCTAACTCCTTTAAGACGGTTACATCTTCAGTGGTGTGTTGACCAAGTCTTACACGGGATAAGATGTTTGCAAACCTTGGGTCTTCTTTTTGACGTACTATTTCTATTAGCTCATACAATGAAAAAAGTTCCCACGGTGTGGAAGCCAAAGCTGCATATCCTATTGTTTGAGACTTGTATACTGGTTTTTCGCCAACAGGGTTAAGTTGCATTAGATCACCGACAACTAACACAGAGACTCTGCCAAATGGTTCTTCATTTTCAAAGATCTCTTGTAATGTTAAGCTAATGTTTGTAAAAGTCTGTGCTCCTACCATGGAAACTTCATCAATTATTAGTATTTTCAGTTGGCAGTAGGTTGATCTCATTGTGTTAAGTGCTGCAGATCCAGGGTGCCTGTAAACAAATTGTGAACCTTTTTGCTTCACAGGAAGATGAAAAGCATTGTGTAATGTTGTTCCACCTATGTTTACAGCTGCCTTGCCTGTAGGGGCAGTAAGTAGAACTGTGGGCAAATCTGTTTTCTGTCCTGCTTTCCTAAGTGTTCGCACTGCACTTTGATATATTGTGTGAATACAATGGCTTTTACCTACTCCAGCACCCCCACTTAGGAAAATGTAGAATGGATTAGGCTCTTCTTCTCTGGAGGATGCTAATGACATTTTTCTGCACCATGTAAAAATGTGTTGGTGTATATCTCTCTGTTTTTCATTGAGACTACGTACCATACACATATATTTTTGTTTAGGTTCTATATCAATGTTAGTAGTAAGTGTCCTTTTCCTTGTTGGCTCCAAGACTACGTTACTGTCACTCGTATCTTGATTTAGTTGTTCTGAGGATAGGTTGGCAATGTCAAGAAGTTGATAGTCTTCATTAGCATCGACTGGCTGATCCCTATCCTGCTCCACTTGTGGTAGAATTTGATCCCACATTTCTTCAGGGGATTCAAGAGTTTCACAAATTTCACTAGCTGTTAAAACCTCCTCAAGGTAAGGTTCATATTTTTGAATTGTTTCCTCTATGGAAGAAAATACACTTTCAAACTTTGTTTTGAATGATGACATATCTTCCAATTCATCTTCATTTCTCCATGGAAAATACAGAAAAAGAAGGCGATGATAATACTTTTCTGAGTCTCTCTGTTTTGTGACCGGATAATCACGAAGCACAAATGGTACATTTCTTTTTTTCATTGTTCCCATACCATTCTTCAGTCTGATAAGTTTTCCTGTAGTGGTGTTGATATCACTGTTTACATCATCAACTTCTTCAGATGTAGGTGATTTTGCAGAGGTATAATAGGAAGCAAACTCTGCCAGACAAATGTCTTCTAGGCTAGATGGTCGTACTGCATATTTATCAACAATATTAGGCAGGAACACATCTGTGTCATCTTTGTTCATGTGTTTTAGCAGTGAAGGTGGTTTTAGAAGTCTTGTACGTTGATGTCTATATCCAGTGGGAATGAATATCACAGGAGTGTTGGTTTCTTTAAGCGGAAGACCAATCAACCTTGCTATAGCTTCATGTTGTGACACCTCCCTCGACTTTAAGAAGACATTCCCAATTGATTTCAGCTTATCTTTGACTGTGTTGGCCTCCTTACATGCATTTCTCATGAGTTCAGACATAGACCTCTCTGGTTTACACATGTAAGATGTAATATATGCTACACATGCCCAAACATCTGTAATGTACTGGATGTCCATATTTGCCCTGAGTGCTTTCATAATAATTGGGTTGTAAGGATTTACACAGGTCTCTGCTGGTTTTCGTTTCAACATGATATTGTTCTTTTTCAAAAATACATTTAGAGCATCTTGATAAATGTCTTCTGGTATTCCTGCAGCCTGTAACAATTCAGACAGTGTTATATCTGTTCCTGTACGTTCCAGGGTCTGCATTACAGAGTTAAGTATATTTCTAGATTGCTCAATTCTCTGTTTAAACTGTTCATCGCAAGGAACACGAGAAATAGTTGTTTCTTGTGCAGGAGGCTTGGGGAAATGAAATCTGCAATTGATGTTTTTCTTCTTCTTACATGTGCGGGTATGATGATGAATTTGTCTGGAAGTGACAAGATCTCTTAAGGATTCATCGTCTTCTGGAATAGCACATGAAATATACGAGTCGATGAATGCAACAATATCCTTGTCTGGTTCCTTGTTTAGTTGTGGTGCCCCTTGTACATGTATTGCTGAATGAAAGTGCGCTGTGCCTCTACTTTGCATTTCTTTTCTTTTGTCATAGTTCAAAATTTGTCCAACTGGATGAACTCCGGAGAGGATAACATTTCCCCACAATTTCCTAAATATGAAATCAATGTGTCGCGCAGCAGTAACTGGATTTCTCGCCAACCAGTTCCTTTTTGTTTTTTTGTCCATTTCATTTTCAATATAAACTATATCGAATTGCTGTCCGTATTGTTTGGCTATTATTTGAATTAATTCAGGCCAGTGAAAATCAGCAGCAGATCCTGAAAGGAAAAATGTGTATGGCCCAAAGTGACGGATTTTTGCCAACATATCTTGTTGCATTTGCTTCCAGTACTGTGGCGTACCTCTTACCCTTTTGAAAGAAGCAAATATTTCATCATCTTTGAAAAATGCTTGGAGCATTTCTGGTTGCTGTAGCTGTCCAACAGAAATATCCTTTTGCCTTGATTTCTTCAATGACATGGTAATGCTTTCATGAACTGAAACCGATTCAATCCAATGGAGACATTGAAACGTGTATTCGGGTGATTCTGCAAAGCGAAAGTCACTTGATAAAAGTCTTGCATTCACATATTTCTTGGGGCTTATCTGCACTGCTCTCTTTTCATGGAATGTGTTTCTACCATCAGGAAAGAGGGTTGGAAATGCTTATGTTTCCCAATCTTTTTGATAAAACACTGAAGTGGGAATTTGTCCTTCAGCTGGAGCAATATTTAAAATTTTTTCACTTGTAACAGAAGGCCCTTCCTCAGGATAGACACAGGTCACAGAGTTTAAGGATCGTTTGTAGTTTAAATCTTCAACAATGTGCTCAGGAACATCTTGTTCAACTTCATCCTCTGAATCTGTTATTTCTTCATCTGCTTCATTTTGATTATCAGGTTTGTGAAGAAAAGGGACATTATTTTCAAGCTCTACTGAGTCACCAATAACATGTTCAGTTTTCTCATTTATTGTAGTTTCTTCAAATGGTGTTATACATGCTGACCTCCAGAGTTCTTCATCTTGGCATTCACTTTGTGTGGTCCATGCTGGGTTAACAGTTATATCTGTATAATTTGTGTTCACTTCTTGTAAACATGCAAGGGCATCATTAACATACTGAGGCCGTATATACTGTTTGCAGAAAGTAGCCTTGTCAGATAACCTTCGTTTCAGATTTAAAGCAATTATTTGGGCCTCTGAAGTATTGCGAGGTAGCGATGATATTGTTTGTTGGACATTTGATGGCACTAAAACAACTTGTCCCTTCAAACCAGTTTGTGCCCCTTTTGGCAGTGAAAGTATTTTCATGAAGGGAATTATCTTTGATATGAGTTGTTTTTCAAGACTACTTAACGATTTTAATATCTGAGGCACTTCAATCACTTTCAAATTATTCTCTGAAGCTTGTAATGGCAATTTTTTTCTAGCAAAGCTGTTGGTACATGTCATACAAACCCACTGGTTTTTATTCAAACTTAAAATTGTGGATGCTTGATTAATTAAATTATCTGTTACATGTTTTACTGATGTGCGGTATAAAAATCTATTGCACACACAACACTCATATGTGGGTCCATCTTGAATTGTCTTTAGAAATTTTTGGACAACATCTTGCACTGCTTCATGAGTTGTTCCCATGTCTGGTCTATATGATTGTAGCAGACTAGCTCTGTCAGTTCGCTTATCCTTATGTCGTTGACTGTCCTTCTGTTTCACTTTTTCAATTTTTTCTGCACTCAAAGACTTTCTCTTTTTTTTGTGTTGGGCTGTATTTATACTTTGAAGTTTGCGTTTATTTTCATTACTCAGCATGTTTCTTTTTACTTGATGTTGAACCTTATTAGTGTCTTTTAACTTCTCCTTTTCTTCTGATGTCATTGTTTTTCTTTGTACTTGATGTTTAATCCTATTGATATCTTTCAACTTATCCTTCTCTTCTGCTGTCATTGTTTTCCTTTGTACTTGATGCTGAACCCTATCAATGTTTTTTAACTTTTCCTTTTCTTCTGCTGTCAGTGTTTTTCTTTTTGCTTGATGTTGAGCCTTATCAACTTCTTTACTTTTTTTCTTTTCTTGTGTTGTCAGTGTTTTTCTTTTTACTTGATGCTGAGCCTTATCAATTTCTTGAATTTTTATCTTTTCTTGTGTTGTCAGTGTTTTTCTTTTTTCTTGATGTTGAACTTTATTATTTTCTTTGATTTTTTTCTTTTCTTTTGCTGTCAGTGTTTTTCTGTGTTCTTGATGTTGAATTTTATTAGTTTCTTTCATTTTTTTCTTTTCTTGTGTTGTCAGTGTTTTTCTTTTTACTTCATGTTGAGCCTTATCAATTTCATTAATTTTTTTCTTTTCTTCTGCTGTCAGTGTTTTTCTTTTAACTTGATGTTGAACTTTATTAGTTTCTTTTAATCTTTCCTTTTCTTCTGCTGTCAGTGATTTTCTTTTTACTTGATGTTGAATCTTATCAATTTCTTTCATTTTTTTCTTTTCTTCTGCTGTCATTGCTTTTCTTTTTAATTGATGCTGGACCCTATCAGTGTCTTTTAACTTTTCCTGCTCCTCTGTTGTCATTTTTTTTCCTTTTTAGTTGATGTTGGACCCTATCAATGTCTTTCAACTTCTCCTTCTCTTCTGTTGTCAGATTTTTCCTTCTTGCTTGATGTTTAACCCTGTCAGTGTCTCTCAACTTGTCTTTTTCTTCTGCACTCTTACTTAGTTCTTTTAATTTGTTCTCTTCTTTTGTCAAAGAATTTCTTCTTTGGGCATGTTGAAGTCTATCTAAGTTCTTGATTTTGTCCTTTTCTTTCCCAGTCAAAATGCTTCTTCTTTGTTCATGTTGAATCCTGTCAATGTCTTTAATCATAGTCTTCTTTCTCTCAGTTAAACTTGCTCTTTTACTTTGTTGATATCTTTTGTTCTCCTCTTTCAATTTTTCTCTCTCACAGTCTGTAATTAATTTCCTTCTCTTAGAATGTTGCATCTTATCTTTTTCTTTTATTAGTTCCTTCTTGTCTGTTGATATCCTTTGTCGTTGAATTCTTTTCCTAATGGTGCTACTTTCTTTTTTTAAAGGGTTCAGTTGAGATTTCATTTCTGGGTGATTATGGACAATTTCTTGTGATTCAACTAAATCTGCTTTGTCAGCAAGTTCATCCATTCTTGACAGCATAGGAAATGGTTCAAACTTTCCTGACAAAAGACAGTCTCTAACATGAGTCCTCATCTGGTGCACATTTAATGTAATGTTCTCCAACTGCTTGCCAGTAAGTAAATTGAATACATTTGCAATAGCAAAAAATGCACATAAATTACTACAGCCTTGTGACTGTGGGCATGTATAAAATGTATTATTGACCATATCTGCATCATACAATAATTTTAACTGTGGTTCTAAAACATTCAAATGCCTGGTATTGTATAAACTATCATATACAAACAATCTTTCATTCACTTGGGCAGAAACCATGTAATGGCCGGGTATAATGTGAATCTGGACAGCAAATTTGTGACATGGAATTTTAGGATGTTCTCCACCAGACTTTTCTAAACCATAAACATATGAAGGTGGTAATAACCCATCAGAGCACTGAAAATGAAACTGTGCTTTTAAAAGTTGTGATACAAAATCCATCATTTGGACATCCATTTCACCACTAAGTACATCATTTATAGATACACCATAAAATGACTCATCGTGAAGAACAATATCTTGTGTTTCAGTTTTTTCTTTTGAATCAGATACTTTTTTCTTCCTTTTTCTGTCTCGAGATAACTTTTGGGAAAGGGTTTTCTTCCGTAGCAGTGGCATGACTTCTGTTTTCAGTTATGCTAAATTCAACCCTGTAAAATATATTCCAAATGAAATAACTGATAAAACTATTACTAGGTACAGTAAATATAGAATATCTTAAACCTTTTCTTGGCTCCATTGAGTTCAAGCTAATACAAGAGGCCCATGGGCCACATCATTCACCTGAGTTACTTTGGCCATTGTGTCATTTAACAGATATCCCTCTTTGTAATACCTAATTTGACCTTAACAATTCTAAAGGGTCATGATTCAACAATTTAGAATACATACTATCCCAGGATGCTTCCACATAATTTTCAGTTTTTTTTAGTGCTGTTGTTCTTGAGAAGAATTTTTTTTTTAAATTCCCACATCAATGTAAAACTTTGTATTAAGTTTGGTTAAAAATGACCTAGAGGTTCTTGAGAAGAAGTTGAAAATGTGAAAAGTTTACAGATGGATGGGCGGACAGACAGATAGACAGACTGATGGATGATGAATGATCAGAAAAGCTCACTTTAGCTTTCAGCTCAGGTGAGCTAAAATGTAGAGTACTGTTGCCGAGGTTTCATATCCCATCAGGGACCAAAGAGAATGATAAAACTGAACTGTAATAAGAATACATGTATAGTCATGTACCAGTTTAGAAATTAAAATATGAGTTTATTAAATGTAGAAGAATATGCCCATGAGACATGAATTATCCATCCAGGGCTTCTCAATGGTTATTTATCAACATATGTAAGTTTGATTCTAAGGTACTATATGTCTTTACTATATTCCTGGCAGAAACATATATATTTTCTACTTTTCACAAAGTTAAATGCGGTACATGTATATAAAGTCAGGCAGTCTATTTTTATAAGGGGATTGATAAGAGTGACACATTACAATGATTACATATAAATTAAAAGGATAGATCTGCAAAATACAACTAAGGTAAGATTTAATACTGTAAATGTAATATATTTAGCGTGTATGACATTTGGCGGAAATTGAATTATGAATTAATTTGCTGAAATTTGATTTAGCAAATCTCATAAAATTCTTCTTTATGTACAAGGGGTTTAGCGTTGTACTTGAATTAATGGAACATGCTTTTCTCCAAAAGCACTAAAAGGAACACGCATCCAAACGCAATACGTTTCCTGCTAGGACATCCTTAAAATATTGTTTGTTTGGAATTGCCGCCTGATGGGTTTCAGACACAGGAGGGAGGGAAATCATTTTTTTTATTGAAGGTAAATTTTAAAATTTTTGATAATAATCTCCATAAACAATCAATACATTTTCTGACTTTTAAAAAAAAGTATCAACAATCAGCTAAAAAAAACTAATTTTAAATAGATCTGACACAATATTTCAGTGTTTTGTATGGTGAATGTGATACATGTAATCACCCCCCCCCCCAAATGATTAAATAAAAAAAAATCTTCCTACTTTTGGTCACTAAATTTTTTCAGGAGGGGGCATTTCAATGAAGCGGGAGGCAATTCCAAACAAACTTTAATCTTATTTTGGCCTTACTCTGAGAAAAGTTTATGAGAAATAAATTTTATTGCAAACATCATCATAAAATACACTGCAAATGAAATGCAATGTGTTGAAAATAAAATTACTTCAAACATTAAAGGAATTTTAGAGAAACAGAACTCCTTTTTTTTTAAATTTTTTTTTTTGGGGGGGGGGG